TCGGGACGTTAAGAGCATTCCATGGAAAATAACAAAAAGTGTTTTCTGAAATAAATTACATACCCCATTGAATTATGACTGAAGATTGTCAGCTGTCTTCCTCTCCCTTGTTGTTCCTCGATACGTAAAGGCTGCAGCACCGTTGACAACTTCTCTCTACATATCAAACATACCGGTAAACCAGCATCGTTTGCTGTGAAAGCATATAACTCTGTCCACACAGAGCCGGGGGTCAGGTTATTCGCCTCCAAGAAAAGGCGCTCGCGCGGGACCGTTGCAGGATGTGACGCATATTTTAGTTGACCTAATTAAAACCGTTTTGTTTTTTATTTATGTGTCACAGTATCACCTCAAAATACAAGATACGAAACATTTTCAACCATGCAGTAGAAAATATAAATAGTCCTACAAATACTTTTTTAATTTTTTTTATTTCCTTCTTATTTTTGTCTAAGCTCAAGGGAGCCAGAGCAGGGGGCTTAAAGGGCCGCCGGTTGCCGACTCCTGGTGTAGGGGGTGGTTTGGGATTGGGTCTATAAAACGCACAGAACGTCCGGAGGAGTTACCTTAAACTGGTTGTCGCAGGATGGACTGGACACTTGTTTACTAACTTTACTTTTAAAATTTGATTCTGAGCTGTGAAGGAGCAGAATTGGAGGCTACGGTAATGGAGCAGTCATCAAAAGTAAGTTATTTAGTTGCTAATTAAGTCTTGTCCAAATTAAATTAAGCGCATATGTCAGTGATGCTGGCTTTTATTGATATAATTACTGTTGGCGTTACAGAGGAATTGATGGCCTAAACACGGCCAATAATATGTCATGTTATGAGGTTTATTGCGGTTGGTTGTGGCTGTAAAGTTCACAACAAACTATGTTGGATAATGGCGTGGTTCGTATGGATTTTTCACCCAGTTTACTTTGCTGTTTAAGGGTAGGCTTTATAACCAGCTAACGTTGATGCAAACAGTTAACGTCAATTTACTGTAGGTTGATTAACGGTGATTCGGTGGCTACCTCAATGAGATGTATCAACATGCCCAATGTGTGGAGAAGGAATTCGGCTTTGTTTATTTTATAATTGAAGGAAGGAGACGATATAAACTGGACGTGATCATTTCTAAAGGCTACGTCAAAATGTCTTAAGTTACAACTCAATTTCTGGCAACGTTGCAGACAACAGTTTCTGGTGAGATTAGTAATGGTGAGCAAAATAGTTAACACAATTTAAATACTAATTTTAATTAACAATATTCCAAAAGTACAAATTAAATTCGAATTAGAGATACAAAGTAGTGGTTTTATCTTGTTATATATGGAGAATGATGTTCAACATATAATTAAACACGTAAATGATTTTCTCTTTTTTGTTTTTAAAAAAAGATGAAGAAACCATGACCTCAACACTCGGGAAACTCAGGACCTTGCTGGCTGCCATCAGGAAACTGCATTCACTGCAAGGTAAAGGCTGTCTCAAAACGTTTACATCATTGTTCCTCCAAAAATGTTTTAATGGGCTGTCATTTCAAATATTGTTGGTTACTTTTTGTTCTGCATTACTCCCAATCCATTGTCCAAAAAACGCAACACACTAATACTGTTTAGGCTTAACTGAATGTGAGCATTTAGTATTTTCAAGTAGCTGTTATGGCTTTATGTTCTGATGACATTTAGTTTCTCTTATATTTAAGGGTTTTTGTTCCAAAATATGCAAACAATTAGAAAATATGTAAGGTTGTGCTCTTCATCGTCCGTCTTTTATTTTTCTAACATCGGGTGGGAAACCCTAAGCCACACAGAATGGTTCTGCCAAACCCTTAGATTGCATTCAGTGATGATAATATGAATGGTCAAAACAATAAAATTGCATCGCAGCTATAATATGGTTCAGGTACTTTTGAGTTTAGGTAACTAAAACCCATTGTTAATGTCAGGTTAAAGAGATATTGTGGTTTTGGATCAAATACCTATCATTTCAATATATAAGTTACGATTGATGTTAAAAGAAACAAACAGAAACAAATTGATACATCAATCATTTTTTATGATCAACTTAGAAGTTTGCGAACCAGGTTGAAGTGGCAGTGGAACAAGCCAAGTTGTGGCTGTTGTTGAACATGGGCTTGGACTTTGGACAGTTGGTTAGAAACTGCTCCATCGATAATGAGATTCAAGAAGGTCCGTGTTGGCGCCTCAGTCAGAGGGCTTACCCAGGCTTATCTGCAAGCTGTACCACATAGGGCGAGAAAGTAAGAGATACAGAGAGGGATATTTTAGTATATACACTTGCTTTTCATAGTAAACTGATATTGGAGGCAGGTGACATACAAAGAGCAGTAAAAAGATTAGCCGTATTTATTTTGTTCATTGATTTTAGTTTTTTGCATCCATCTGAAAATGCTATCCTATATTTTCCAACGTGGGAGGACGTGGTTGAGATGTTTTCTGTTGTGTCTTCATGTAACGGAGATAATGCAGAGCCATGTTGCTCTTCTTCTGTCTTTACACTTCCAGACTTTTTTTGGCAAACTTTTCCATGTCAGTTAAGGGTGGAATATTAATTTGGATTTGTCACAAGCAGCTGAGTAATCTGTTCCACAGCTCTGATTACTTTTAACGTTGATGGAAAACAATCAACACAGAAAAGTATTTTATTTTCACATTTACAGTATAGGCGTGTGTGGACCTGACATAAGACAATGGTACTTCACTTCGTCAACATTTTCGCTCACCATATCACTCTTCAGTTAGGAAATGTCAGCCGATAACCTATGCCATTTGAATTCGGCCATCCGTCCGTTATGTCATTGGACTCTCATAATAGAAACATGTACTGTATGCTTGGAAAGGAAATGAATAGTGACATGAAAGTCTCCTGTGGGTAAGACTTCAATATGTATTTCTTTAACACCTCTGTGCCCTCCTCTCAACCAGGCAACATACTTTGGTGTTGACATACAAATTATAGTTTGATATTTTGTTTATCAAATATCTTTTAACATATTTGAGTGCTCTACAAAAGCCGCACATTATTTATGATTTTGTATTGAAATAAATTGCATAATTTAAATTGAATCACAGAGTTTTTACTTTACTGTAAACACTGCAGTCAAACCAAGATCAAGCGTAATATTTTTCATGCTTAACTTTCACAAATAAATCCTTTTAACTAAAAAGTTTTTAATATTTTTCAATTCTCAATGAATTCAAGGATAACCAGTTCAAGTTATAGACACAAATAAATATGCTGCCTGTTTCATTCAATAGAAGTGATATTTAGGTGCTACCTTTTTCAAACTGGCAATTTCACAAAATACCTGTCAAACTGTCAAATCCCACAATAATTCTTGAAACAAGTTTTAATCGGTTTATAGGATAACTGTCAATCAATAGTACTATTTAAAGGTATCTTGTAGACATGTAACTTTTTAAAAAGGTATGGCGGTTGTCCATTGATTGATTGATTTCCCCCGTACAGCCCCTAGTGGCAACCAGTGATGATGCAGGTTGTATGCCATTGCTCTACGTTGTCCTTTAGATGGTTTTCTCAGAGGAAAGGCAAATGGTAAAAGAGACATAATGGACTTCCTGGTCAACATCCTAGTGTTGTAAGGATGATTCCAAAACTCATCATCTTATTTCTTTAGAATAAACGTGATGACATTGTTGACATGACTCCCTAGAGGAGACGTAAATGATGGATGGAAAACGGGCTGCAATTGACCCTGCCAAAGGCACTTCGGCATTTGGCTCAGAGCTGACAAGGTGTTGATAAGATGTGCGCTTACCTCGATACTATCAAGGTCAGCATCCTCTTATCAAGACCAAGTGAAAATGGAACATATATGTTGTTAACATGCTCTGCAAGTCCTCTTATAGTTGTTCATGTTGCATAAATGACTGACAGGTTAAATTGTGCACATGCTGCAGGGCATCCTAATTGATGCATGTGTAAGGAGTTACAGATACAAGTAATCAAGCAACCTTTGTTGCACCGTGAAGTCCAGGCTTAGCAATATAATTGACTTTAGTAATGTTAGGTATTCATAGCAGTGTGCAAATGGCATGTATTGTTGTCATTCAGTGCTGAGGACATGACAAATTGAATATGCCATAAACAGTCCCTCAGTAAATACATGTGGGGATGTGAGATACTGTATGTGTGGGAGGCTTTCTCAGAAACATTTCAGAATTTTATTTTGTTCTAATTGTTCTTCCTGTTGTTTGTGTTTGTGCTATACCTCTGGGCTAGTAATCACTGTGTATGTACACACAATGATAACAGAAATTCTGGCAATTTGTTTAGGTGGCTACTGGCTAATTGTATAATTATGTGGCTGCTACTGCACATGTAGCGTCCTGGTTTCTATGCAGTGAAATCCTCTCTTGTTTGCTATTTCCGTCTTCCTCTTCACTCACTCTTGACAGTTGGCAACCATTAACTACTGAACCAACTCCACTTGACACAAAAGTTACGGCAAAACAGAGGTGCAAAACAGTGTTCACTCCAAATAAATTGTAATGAGGGAACGAGGATAAAGAAAGGAGATTAGATTGCCTCTTGGCCCCATGCTCCTTTCCATGTTGCTGCTCCTTTTCTCCATACCTATTTAATTTTACATATTTATCATACGATTGTTTGTTTCTCTGTGGAGTATGGGCACTGAACCCTTCTGTCTGAGATCTCTAGCAAAGTCAAGGCAGCAATTGTCAATAGCATGAGCTAGAGGTGTGTGTGTGTGTGTGTGTGTGTGTGTGTGTGTGTGTGTGTGTGTGTGTGTGTGTGTGTGTGTGTGTGTGTGTGTGTGTGTGTGTGTGTGTGTGTGTGTGTGTGTGTGTGTGTGTGTGTGTGTGTGTGTGAGAGAGAGAGGAGGAGAGGGAAAACGAAAGGGAGGGGAGGTGCAGGGAGGGGGCATGTACGAGGGAGGGTGAGAGAGAGACAGAGCGAGAGCGAGAGAACAAGCGGCTCGCCTCATTCCGCTGCTTTCTCAGCATCCATTCTGTGAGTCCGTATTCTGGAGAGGAGAGAGCTACCTAACTGGCAAATTGGAGAAGAAAAGAAGGGGGGAAATCCACTGAAGGGGGATATCGAGGAAAATAACCCATAATCAGGTCTCTGTGGCATTGAGTTTCAACTCTCAGAGCTTTGGGAGAGGGGTCTGAAAGTTTCCGTCCGGGGGGGACACCCTCCCCTTGTTGTGGGGATGAACAGCGGATGCTGAATTTCATTCCTGAAGGCAGCAGGAGATCTGTGAATACCGGCTGGATTCACTTGCAGTGGAGCTGGTAGTGCGCACTAGAAGAGATCCTAGAGTGCCTCTTTCTCTCTCGCACACGCATTTTCCAGAAGAATACATATCATTATTTCACCGTGACCAGGTGGAATATCAGGGGCAATCAACCCATAAGAATATCTTCTGAGCCTGGGAGGTAAAGTGGAACGGATTATTTGCAGAATCAATGAAGGACATCCTGTTCAAAAAAGTAAGTTCTAATAAAGAAAGGCTTTGAATTGGGTTCTGATTCTGAGAGACTTGGAGGATTTTTGCCCTTTTATCTTTGTTGTGGAGCAGCACCGAGCTTCAGACAGCTTATCTTGTGGACTATAAGGTTCTGGATGGTATTTCAAGGTAAGGGCACATCCTTGAGCTCTTGTATAATTATAGCACCCTTCAGGTTTTTTAAGAAACGGGCAGATAGGAGATCTGAAAGATACAGTTGAGTGGGAAAGAGATGAAAAAGGTGCATGAATCTTGACTGTATCCAGTTTCATACAAAGTTGGGATAAATATCTTAATTATACAATAACAAGTTTCAGGGCTTATGGAGAACATGAACATTAATAAGAATTGGTATGTTTCTTTTTTTTTAAAGGTTACTTCCATATGCAGAAAATAATGTTTCTATGTGTATCTGCATACTCATGCATGTGTGTTTGCTGAGAGGGGAGATGCCTGTCTGCAAAGCAATCCATCTCTTTGCTTCCTTGCTACATAGCGGTTATCACCAGGGGAGGCAGCTAGTGGAAGGGGCATAATTGCGGTGGATGTTTGTCCTCGTCTTTGCAACAGCCAGTATCTCTGAGCTCAGGGAATTACTTCCATACAGGAGCCACATTTTATTCATAATGGTGAGTGTCTTTCTGCATTTTAAAGGCTGCTCCTTTATCTCTACTCACAGAGAGCCGATTGTGTCCGGCATTACACTATCTCAAACACCCTACATTATACCTTCACCCTCAGTTTCTATGTTCCAGTAAGTGTGTCTGTGTGATTGTGGCACAGCAATGCATCTCTTTCTCTTTATCTCTGTTTTTCTTGCTTATGTTTAGTGATCATTTTTTAAAGCTGTTGTTTGCCAAGTTCCCTTTCTGATGGAATGCAAGACAGGAGAAAGAGACAGAATGATCAAGGCATCATTTGTGTGTTCTTTTTTTGTTGTTGGGAAGAGTGAATCTGCTGCCCTCTTGATCAATACCAGACGACTGCATGGCTTGCTCCTTTTGTAAAGCAACGGTTGAAATATTTATGATTGCATGAGCATCCTGTTGGTTCCCTGAAATATTTAAAAGAGCTGAACCGTCAATTGCCTGTCTAAGCTGTCAATGCTCAACTTTGGCCTGGCCTCATGCTCATAATGCCACCTCCTCATGTGACATGCAGCACAGTGACCATTGAAAGCCTTTGCTCCTGGATTTAACATTTTCAAAAGAAGTGGCTCTACTCTTGCAAAACATCCACTGGGGGGAAGTGGAGCCTGATGGAAAGTTGATGACAGCTCTTGTGTGTCTGCTGTTGACTGTTGGCTCAAATGGCCATTTGTTCTTCTGAATATATAGCTTGATTGCAAGAAGCATCTCGCACAAACAGTCTATTGATGTCACATTTAGCATGCAAGAGGGCTAGTGTAATTGCTTCCTATTGAAAGAGATGCAAACGTGTTATCTGCTGTGCCTGCTGTATTCATTTAGTCTTATGAGCTATATCTACACTACGTATACGTCAAACATGCGTGTGTACGTGTGTAAGAGAGCGTGTTGGAGGGCGAGAGAGTTTTTGTGTGTATCTGGTATCTGCGTGGGTGTGTATTTGTCCAGAGCTCTGTGCTTCATCCCTTTTGATGTTTTATTGAGTGTTAACCATGGCAGGGCTGACGCATTGCCTCTGATATGGACTAGCATGGTTAAAGGAGAGCACTAAGACCGAATTGGCTCTTCTTTGTATTTCCTTTAACTCTGAATTAGCAATGCTGTGTCTGGATCTGCCTCTTTCAGCCCTTTGGATTTGGTAAATGATTTGGTCCAGGCACTGTGTATGTGCGTTAGTGTGGCTGTGTATAAGCAGATAGGATAATTAATGTGTGCATACATACAGTGTATGCTCAGGTGAGTGTCTCTCTGTGTGCGTAAAATCCCCTTCTCTCTCTCTGGGCGGAAACGGGTATACATGCAGTCTCTTTTTCAGCCATTTCTGATGTTAGCGAAGGAGTGAAACAAAAGGCCCTCCATTTTCAGTGATACAATGCATCCACTGAATCACAGAATGGACGGAGCAGTGGGAAGGACTTCTCTTTACTACCTAATCATTATTCAACGCATTAACACCATGTTCACATGGGGCGAACATCATAGGAAACACCTTCGATGGCAAAGAGGCTGGGCTTTTGATGTATTACTGCAGAATCTGGCACATAGCTTTTCCAAGTATTGTGAATATTTGCAATCATGTGCCTTCTTGATAAGTATCAGCAACATGTCATTAAAATAAAGAACAGGCAAATCTGGCCTTATATTTTAGTAATTATATTATTACCATAAGACTACACATTGTCAAGTCTTGAATATGAATATTCTATGCACATCACTAATTTGTATAGCTTATTTAAAGATGCCATACATTATCACGAGTGAACTACTTTTACAAAATGACAACGTATAGAATAAAACAACGTGTAGGAAAGGTATTGCATTGTCTGTAATGGAAACTGAATTTGCAAATGTTGAATTCCATGACATGTTAACTTTGGCTATCTATTGATAGAAAATAATTGACATAAGCACAACAAATGGCAGATGTTAAGCATATTTTAAGTTTAATATATATTTTAAGCTGTTAATTTGAAACTGAGCGACATTTGATTGCATTTGTTCCAGAGTGTCACAGATCGTTTGCATGCAGTGGCATCTTTGCACAGCCTTACACAAATTGTTTCTGTTCAATCTGTAAAACGCTTCGGATTTTTTTTTTACTTAGTTTCTTCTCAGAGGATAGATTCATAAAGAGACCTGTCAAAAACAAGAACTGTACCCAGAAGCTGAACAACGTATTTATAGCCTGTCCATTAAAGACAGAAAAAATCAATGATCCTAGACTGGGGTTTCAAATTTACAATTTTTTTCATCACTGACCTTTTGGATACAGTTGTGAATATGTACTTTGTTAAATATCAGATTCTAACTTGGTCAATAAAAGTGTCTCATAGATGTTATGAAAGAATGTGTTTCTTGTTTGTTAATATAATACTTTCATTGTTTCATTTAAACGTAATTTATAAGGTAATTATCCCATTAAAACGTTATTTTTCAATAGTATGGATAATATTATTACTAGGAATACATTTCTTACATTTAAACTCACACATACATTCAGTTTAAGGGATAAGAAATGTTCGATAGTTGCTGTCACAACACTATAACATAGTCATGCTAGCTATCAAGGGACACACATCTAGCATACACACCAGCTGCCTGAGACAAACGGAAGAACGCGGCTTCAAAAGGGAGTTTGGTCAACTGGAGACCAAGCTGTGAACGGATGTGGCTGATCAGCCCTTTGAATCCCTGATGAGGAGAAACACAATATGCTTCAACAGCTGGGTCATTTATGAAATATGCTTACTCATCATGGTTGCCAGCAGCTAAGGAGGGGGAAATAATTATATTTTAGTAAAGTATGCTTCACACTAATTTATTATCTCAATTTTTTTTTAGACTTATTAAAATAAACATTTGGAGCGACACCTATGGAAAAACATGACGACATCTATGCTCACTATATTCCTATTATTCAGAATCAGAAACAGGTTTATTGCCAGGTAGGTTCACACATACGAGGAATTTGACTTGATGTCATGGTGCCGAAATAAAATACAAAATAACAAATCTTTAAGGACACCGTAATAAAATATAGTTAAATAGCAATAAAATAAAGCAGTAATTTTCATGGAAATAGAATGCTATGAATGAATTATAGGATATGAAATATGAAACAAGAAATATGTGCAGTAAGCAGTATGAACATTGTGTGCATTAATGTAATGCATATAGAGACTACGTTGTGGCTGAGGTAAGTGTCAGTGGGGGGGCCGGGCCTTGTTTAAGAGGCCGGTAGCTGAGGGGAAGAAACTGTTCAGGGGACATTTTTAGTACAATTTGTTGGCCAAGTGTATTAAGAAAACTGTCTTCATTGAATGTTTGATAATAAGGCCATATCTGTGTTTCATTGTGCACATGTGCATTACATCATTTGAGGCAGCAAAAACACTATCACTGAATGTAACCTAAACTGAAATTTTTAAAAGTTTCCTCTTCACACAAAAGACAAATGTTGGCAAAAGAGATAAGGAAAAGGAACACCAAGAATCTGTGCCTGTTGAAGATGTGATGTGCTAAGTAACTGCTGGTGGCAGTGTAGCCCTTTAGGGATATAGTAACCAGGAAGAGGCTGTCTGGGGCATGAGGACTGATCTACAAACGGCTCCCATTGACAGTGAACTTGCTGTCTGCGTCACTTTGCAGCTCGACCTTCCTGGGCAAGCTGCCGAGGGCACGTCGTATCACCTTTTGGAAAAGTCCCTTTCTGTTTGTGTCGACAACTTGCATTAGGAAGGGCCAGGGGTGACGTAGCAGGCAAAGAAAAGGGGGCAGAGGATGTCTCACTGTATGGCAGTTGTGATAGAAGAGAGGAAAAGGTGAACATAACTAATTGGGCTTTTGCCCCAGGGAAAAAAAAACAAAGATCAAATGTCCTCCAGCAGATTAATTTTAAGAGGCCTTATGTTATCACCTTGATCTTCATCCCTAAGTACATTTCTCCCTATACAGTTGCATTTCTCAGAGTAGCATACAACCTGCACCCAGAGCACTACTCAATACAAATAAATGACTTGCCAACAAAAAGTGGTTTTGAGAATAGCTACAGTTTCATAAAACACAGTATTGTTTTACATTCTGTATACAATATAGACCTTCTTAAGGAAATCAAATCCTGTATAGTAATGGGAGATCTCGTTGTACCAGTGCTACATTTTGCCGCCATGTGTTACAAAGCCTCTTTGCACAATGAAAAGGGACATCATTTTCTCCCTTTTTGTCTTTGTGATATGCACGTTTTTTCATACTTTGTAATCCTGCCTGTATCTACCCAATTAGTCTAGCCACAAACAGGCTAACACAGCCAAACCACTTTTGTGCCATTACTGACCTTTCCAATTCTTTAAAACTAATTATAGATCATTAAATATTCACACAGTAGAATAACCTGCCTACATCCTAATGGCAAGGAAAGATTGATACTGGTTCTTTTTTCAGCAAAGCCAATGTTGGAGCCATCCATTTTGTATTTTGCCTCCA